GAAAAAATAATTTTAAAGCAAATAGTTAACTGAAAATTAGTGTAATAAAAACGACTGCTACTATTTATAACACTGTCTCTGCCTCTTTTCTACCTAATTAAGCAAATTATTTACCCTCTCTTGCCTCCGTTTCCTCATTTATACAGTGTGAACAATTATAATCAGATCATCATAAGGATTACATAGTTACAGTTAATATTATAAAATGAATAGTGCCTGGCCAGAGTAAGAATATTATAAAATTTAGCCAAAACTACCAAGCTTGCTCTTACAACTCCTTTTTTATTAGTATCACTACATTTATATAAGGTACCCAGCTAGGAGCATGATATATTATTGTATTTAATCTCTATAATAGGTAGATTTTTTTATCTCCATTTTATAGGTGAAGGAACAAAGGTTTAAGAATAGTAATATATTAGTGATAAAGCCATAACTAGAACAAGATCTGTCTGACCTAAGGCCCTTGCAATGAGACACACCTATAAACCACAGTTCCATCAGAATTTTCTAAACTTCAACTGCAAATCATGAATTTCATTCCAGCTTCAACATCCCCACCCTCACAACATATCCCAAATATTTTTTAAATTTGATTGGGAATATATATACATATGGTAACTTCAGGACTTGAACAATGTAGAATTTAATATCAAAAACTTTAGGAATTGTACACTTCAGAATAATACCCTATCAGCTGATAGAAATATATGATTTCATCTATAAAAGAAAAAATAAAATGTCTTAGAATCTGAATTCCTCTTTCTTATAAAATTTAAAGTGATTTTTTGAAATGTACTGGTCATATAAACTAATGTTTTCAACTTTTAACTTAGCATCATTTATAGAAAATATAACCCTACCTCCCCTTAGAGAAAGCTGGTTCTTAATTTTAAGAATTCTTAACAAGCTTAAGAATTATTTCTAGACCTTTTATTATCTTATTCACATATCTGAGATAACATGTTATATAAGAAATAGTCAAGGGGCTGTAGTATCTATTCTCAAATATCCAAGGATCTATGCTGTGAAAAATAGGTTTGTTCATAAAATTGAAAAAGACTAGTAAGGAAAATGGGTACAAATGACAAGGAGGCTATTAAGAAGTACTTCCTAGCTTTAAAATTCCAATAATCAAAAGTGTTGTATCAGAAACTACAGAACCATCTGAGAGAGCTATTGAAAATAAAGGTGATGCTTGCATTGGATAAGAGGTTTAACTAGATAATCTCTAAGGCCATTGCAACTTTAAGATTCTAAACTGAAGTCAGAAAGATGAAATACCTTTTCTTTTTGAATATCTTGTAGTGCTTTACATTGCTCCTTCAATTGCTGTTCTCTCTTTGCTGAATCCTGCTCCAAAGTAGCCTTGGCAGTCTTCAGTTCTTGGATCAATTTATTTTGGTTTCCGATTTGATTTCTGTTTGAAATCAAGTCCTCCTGCGCTAGAGAAAGCTTCTCTTCTACAGACTTATAAAAACAATTTCCCCAAATTATTACATGTCATCTTTTCAGCAAATTTCAACAGAAACATAAGTTTAAGATAAGCATAGTAGAAAGCAATATAATAAAAAAATAGCATGCGATGCCCTTCAGTAAGATCATGTAAAAGAGAAAGAATTCTAGAATATTAACTCTCTTGTCCATAGAAAACACTTATAGTATAAAATAATTAGTAAAGCTGAAGCAATTCCAACACCTCTAGAAATAACCTATTTACATAATAAATATTTGAAGTATTACTGAATGTTGATCACATCTTTAACACTGGCTGGGTGATATGAGGGAATACCAAATTAAGTAGGGACCACATTAAATACACTCAGAGAACATATTAATATATATGATGAGAGAAGAGTCATGAGGAGACATGAAAGGAAATAATTTTGAAAGAGATATCATTAAATGCTATGTTATGTATACACATACATTTTGTAGGATCTACGATGCCCCTTGATACACTAAAAACTTTAATAAACAGGAAGCGGGTTTTGCCTTAGGGAAAAAAAAAACAACAAACTTTATTTCATAGCTGCAGACCCAATTAAGTGAACAAAAAGAGGAAATCTAGCCAAACATCTGAGGCTCTACCCTGAGACAGCCATCACTTCATCCTCTCATCTTTCCATCCATGTGGTAGAAGTAGTGATTGGCAGTTAACAAAGCCTATAGTTACTGCTTGCTTTAGCTATTTCAAGGTCCAGATATTTTGAGAAGCCGAAGTTGGGGAAAGGGCAAGCTTTCTGAACTACGAGGCTTCATTCTCGGGGTAGATATGACAGCAGGTAGGTAGTGGGAAGGGCAGGAACCTTGCCACGCTTGGCTGCTATTGCTAAGAATCAGCAGGGAATGAGATCCAACTAATGCTCTTCCATGGGATCTAGAAGAAGCTGATCTTTCTTATTTTGGAGACACAATTCCTTTGAAAATGAGGCAGAAAATACAATTCAGGAGAGGACCCCTGCTGGCTAGGCTTTTATAAAGTTAAGTATTCAATTAAAAAATAGATTAAAAAATAAATGAAAGCCTTATTTATGAGGATTCTTAAGCCTACTAAAAAAGTTAGTTTATTCCTTACCAATAACCCAGTTCAGAAGTCTTTTCGATACAAATTAAATTTCTATTTTCAATGATTGCCAACAGAACACAACCCTATGAGGCTTATTTTTTCAGGAAAACCCTGAATCATCCAGTTCTTTATTACTCAGGCAGCTTACTATTAATTGAGCACACTGCTAAGGTAGAATAGGAGGGTATGAGATGGTCCGTAAAGGATTTGACAACATAGCCTGAGAACCAGAAGAGGCATGTAAAATGGAAGCTGCACTGGGTAGCAGAGCATATGCCATGTACCAAATGCACAGAAAAACAACATGAGACTCTCTGCAGAAGGTGGTTTACAGAAGGCTCCACAGTACATGTGGGAACTGGCCTATGTGTCACAAAGAGTGAGAGGGATTTTACATAAAAAGAAGAAAATTTGACTAAGTCTAGACCAAACAGTCTACAGCAACTGTAATTAGGTAATAGAAGTCCTGATCTAATGTTTGAGAATACCAAGGCTTGCTAGAACCTGGAAAGCAATAGTACCCCTAACCTCTGACTTGTAAGATTTCTAAAATGCCCATGGCTTAAGTGACAGTCTATAAAATTTTAAACTCACAAAACCCAGTGACTAATTTTTTAAAGTCAAGCTCAAAATTTAGACTGCTCCATGAAGTCTTTTCTGAAAATACCAAGACATACTGTTCTACCCTGCATCTGAACATTCATCTGGGTCACTCAGTGGTATACTGTCATGCATTTTTAAATATTCCTTTTATCTTTCTTGTTGTAGGACATGTTATTTCATCAGCTCAGCATCTCTTCTCTTAGGGAACACCCCCTCCAACTTCGTGGTTTTGTTGGGACTATCTTTAGCCCACTGACTCCCATTGGAATAGACAAATTCTCTAAGTAGATCAACTACCAACCTCGACCCTTATTACACCAATCACATTATACTACCCCAGCAAAAAAATAATTTCCGCAGTGTTCTGTGGTAGCTATTTTTTTTGTCTATTCAGCAAATTTTCCCATTCTTCTTTCAAAATAAAACCTTTACAATTTGAGTTATTAATTTTTCTTGATGTCTGATGAATGACATAAGGGATTTATTTTTAATTCTAACCTTATTATCTAAGAGTTTTCATTTTGATCATGGTGTAAAATTTACAGTTAAATTCTACCCTTCCTGGACAACAAATAGTACACAGGATAGCTAATTTGAAATATCCAGTCAACACACTCAAGTATTTCATAAATAATCCAGCAGATGGGGCTAAAGCCATAGATCAGGCCAGCTGTCTTCCATTCTACTGGCATCCAGGTATATACACTGTCAGCCCACAGTGTACTCTGTTAACCCATGGTAGACAGCCTGGACTCAGACAGGGGTCATGTTACAAAGTTCTGAATCTCTCCCCTTCTCTCATGCACAAGATCATAAAACATCACTGAAGCACAAGAAAAATAATGATTGATAATCATCTCTTAATCTGGTCTATAAATATCATTTCAACTTCCCTAGCAATTTACTTTAAAAAAAAGTTAACTTCCTAAGTAGTTCATACAATTCTCATTTTAGAAGCGTCAATATAGAATTTATCAATCTTCTATTTTATCAACAACAAAAAAAAATTCTAGTGAAATGATGGTAAAAGAATAGAGGGCTCTGAATCAGAAGAACCGAGATCTACCCATGGTTCTGTTATGGTGCTGCATTGGGCCTGCCCTCTTTTGCAAAAGTTCTTTTGCAAAAGGAAGCTTTGGCATAAAGGATCTATCCCAGGCCTCTTAAGAGTAGTAAAACTCTATAGCAGCCTTGTCCCTGGGCCTTCTCTTTTTACCCAAATTTACATTCCAGTTATTCTTTCATGTATGAGACTATTAGTATAAAATATAGCTTTCAGGCATAACAAAAATTGCTGCTGGCCTAATGAGAGAACATTGATTTAAGATATATACGAGTTTTGTTTCTAGGTTATGCTCTGGGTAAATGATAAATACATATGAAAAGCATGTGATTTCCACAGGACTTTTACAATCAATCATCAAGTTTCACCTCTACTATCACTTAGATATCCTTCAAATTCATCCACTGTTCTCCATCCTTACTGTTATTGCCAGCCCAAAGCACCATTATCTTGCAGTTGGACTATTGCAGAGTCTCCTCTCTAGTCTCTACATTCAGCCTTGTGCCCCTACAATCCATTCCTCACCCTGCAGCCAGGCATTTGCCTAAAAGACAAATCTAAGTAATTCCTTTCACTGCCTTTAGGTTAAATCCAAACTCCTCCACGAACCTCCCCTGCCTTTCAACAGTGTTGTAAAGAAAAATAGTAATTTAACATTACCTAAATGTGGTATTATTTTCTTAATAACATCTCTTGCTAATGTTGATATCAAGAGAAAGAGAGAGAGAGAAAGATGTAGATGTATACACTTTTGGCACTATGAAAATTATCTTACTTAATTTCCTATTTCTTTGTCAAATAATTAATCATCATTGATTCCTTCCCTTCCCTTGCAGCCTGGTACATATTCAGCCCTTTCATTTGTTTCATCTTCTCTCTCTCCCATTAATCTTTTCTATTCCACCCTCTTTAACTTGAATCCCAATTCTAACCAATTCACACCTTGATTACTAGAATTTATGGAGAAAGTAAGAGAGAGAACCTCTCAGCTAACCTCCCCACCACGAGTCTATCCCAGGTCCAACCCAAGCTGTCTGTAAACCACCACCAGGTTGCTTTCTAAAGTGCTATTTTCTTCATCTTACTCCTCTGCTTAGACTCTTCACTTTTTCCCCTCAATATAAAATCCAATCATCTTAGCTAGTCATCTGAGATACTTCACAATTTGGACCCAACCTTTTTAACCTTAATTCCAAACATAAACTAGCACTCTAGCAAGACTATTATGTTAACTATTTCCTGGCTTTAGTCATTCCCACTGTGGCACCTTTTCTCAAATGTGCCCCTGAGTGAAATGATCCCTTTCTCAGGACTCCCTGTGTATTCAAATTCTGTATATCCTTCAGGACCCAGTCAAGTCCTATCTGCTTTATAAAGCCTTCCCTATAACAG